GTCCACCTTTCTATTTGAATCATATTAAACCAAGAAATCCCCTCTCCTCCCAAAATCTCTTTTATATTTCCTTTATCTCTCATCTTCACCATCCAGTCTTCTATCCTATTTATCCCTTTATTTTTTAATATAAAGAGGTTTTTTTTTAGATTTTCTGGAAAATTATTTAAATCCACCACCTGGGACAAAAGAGAGATCGGTGGGCTCAATATACCTCTAAACCTTTTCCAATTTTCTAACGTATTTTTAAGAAAAGGTTTAGTAATCTTTTAACTCTCTTCTCCAATTTTTTCTTTAAACAATATGCTTTCAATTCTTTCTTCCTTACCCTGCATTTCTATTTCTGTCCAAATTAAATTCTTATTATCTTTAATAATATCTGGTATATGTCTGAGCTGTTTGCTGTAATATAATTTTAAATTGGGTAATCCAAGACCTCCCTTTTTTGTGTTACATACCATAATTCCTTATTAATCCTCACTCATTTATTTCCATTGCAATAACAATTTATCATTATCTGCCATTCTTTCAGTTGTTTTTCTGTAATCTTTATAGGAAGCATCCAAAATATAAAATGTAAATTAGAAATTATTTTCCCATTTACTTGGAATAAAAATACCAAACTATTATGAGAAAAATGCTGAGGAGTGTTTCAGTTTGTCTGACTCACTTTCCCTTCATCTCTTGGACTGTCACTCAGGTGCACAACAGGTCCAGGATGAGTCTTTGTGGAGCTGCAAAGGAAAACCAACACAATAATACTTAATTATTATTATTTTTATCTTTGAACTCAAGTAGCTATTATTAGGGGAAGGCTCCTGAATGAGCTGAGTATGATCCACTATACTGGAAGAAAGTGGAAAAAATGCCGGCAGTAATTTAAAGCAGACTTTTTATGAGAGCATTGGAAGACATTCAACAGGACACAGCCCAAAAAGGGAGGGGGTAAGTATAAAGCAAACCAGAAAATTACAAAACTGTCAGCAAAAACAAGAAACTATTTTTGAAAACTAAAACCAGGAATCCTAACTAGGAAGCCAAGGTGGCTGAGAGTTGGTTAAACTGACATTAACACTGTGATTACACTGAGAAAAAAAATACTAGAAATACGGTATATGGGTTTGGGGCAGGCTGATTTGCATTTTTCCATTGATCACATGATGCAAAGGGAAATAAGAATCAGCCTGGAGCCTGCCCTCCATCTGTAGTTTTTCATCTCTCCTATTGGGGATTCTATTATTTTAAAAAACTGATCCATTCGCATTGGTTCAGACGTGTGATTTCGTAAATCAATGAGGAAAAGCCACTGCACTAGCACACACTGAGAAAGTGGTAAGCAGAGGCCATCGACAAGGTTCTTTTTTCTTTCCTTTCTCATTAAAACAGCTAGAGATGAGCAAACCTCTCTTTTTTCAAAAAGGCTTCCTCTCTTTCCCTTTGTGGCCAATTAATGCAGAGAGAGTCTTTTGAAATATTTCATTAGGAGTTTGGGATTGTGGTAAAATACACATTCCAAAATTCGGATTTCCAAAAGAAAACAGTGTAATGTTGCCAGTTTAGGTATAGTGTATTTCCTATTAACATATATGTGTTGCAGTTAGATCATGATTAGATTAAGTAAGTCATCTGCATCATTAATATCTGATCATAAACCTTTGCCTTATCTTCTTAATGTTCTGGCTCGTGCTATTACCCAATAGCGATAATATGAAGTTTTTAATGCAAAGAATGCGCAGCATGTGTGCTTTTATGGTGGTTTTTAGTTAGTGAAAATCCCAAGAATCCATGAGATTCTAAAGATCCATGATTTTGCACTGTGTCAGATATGTGAAAATAGCAGATGCATTATCATTATAGTAAAAAAGATGGTTCAGATAATCTGATAGTAGTTTTGTAATTACTGTTGCACATCAAAAAGTTTTTTCCCCTCAACGTTTATTCTCAGCTGCACTACTGTGTAAGTAGGTGTACACTGAAAATTATCATCCCCCCCCCCAAATTAGATGGTTGATCATTCGGTTATATCAATAGAGTAAGAAATTGAATAAAGAATCTACCAATGAATCACTTTCTTCTCTGCTGAAGACAAAGGCAGTTTGTCTTTATTCATAAAATGGTTTAGTAGGCTAAAGCTATAACCCCCCAAAAAGAATTAGAAAAACATTTTCTTGTTTATCACCCTAAAAATGAGCAAAAGTGAAAGTGGAATAAACAGATAATTTGTTACAAAATACTGTAGGTCTGAAATATTCTGGAATAAAGAATATAAAAGCAATTAGAGGTTGGCTGGCATCATATGGATTGTGAAAGAGTAAGATGTTGCAGTATTGGTGTGTGTGGGGAGGAAGGCTACTGTGGATGGGGCCCATCTACACAAATCAATCAGGTGTGAACATGGGGGACATGGAAAGAGCCTCCCCAAGGAAGGAGAGGACTGTGAACACATTCAGGCGCACTCTCGGCTGATCCTTCCCGTCCACAAGCATTTTTGGATTGCTTCTGACATAAACGGAGAAGAAGGTATGAATGTGCATGGATATGGACTATCCTCACAGTACTCACATGAAAGGATGAAGTGGGCGAAAATGTGGTGTAGGTCCCCAACCAGATAGACCCACCCCTAATAATGTTTGGCTCCCTTTGGCTCTGCTGTCCGTTAATTTCACATGTAGCTCTGACTTGGGAAGCATTCATAGCTTGACTCCCCTGCATACAGTCTCCCCCTTGTTCTGGAACCCTGGCATGGAGTAGCTTTTATGCAGAGAAATCCATAGGGATAAACTTTGCTACAAATGTGTGGATGTGAAGGGCAGGACAGGACAGGGTGGGAGGAGTCACACTTAAGCTCCCTTTTCATGGAGTTCCATTTGATGTATTCCTCTTCATTCCACTTGAAGAGCAACACATCCTTCCAGGCATCTGAATGGACTTACAGTATATACAGCATGAATGAACATTCGATTAGCTTGTCTGTACAGTATTTCTCTTTACCTCATTTTCCCTATGTTTCTTCTTTGCTACACTCCCTTCATCAGCTTCTGTTTGCCACTCAAATCTTGTTTAACTTTACCTTACTTTTTCTCCCCTGTTTTGCTTTTAAATCTTTCTGGCTCCTTATCTAATCTTCTCTCTTTTTATTTGCCTTCATATTGTCCCTGGTCTCACAATATGCTCCTCTTATCTAACAGTCTCCTGTCTCTCTTGCTGTACTTTCCCCAAGGGGCTCTCAGAAGTAATTTGCAAGTAATGCCAAAATATGGTTAGCTTTAACATTATGTGAATCAACAAGCACAAGCCTGCCTCCTCATATGTATTAAGAGAAGATTTGGAAACATCTACTTCAAGCTGTAAAAACTACAGCTCCTGTTAGCCTCTAAGCTTTGGAGCCCATGGTTAATTTAAAACTATTGATAGCGAATAAGCCAGGATCGTAAACCATTATCTGCTCTCTTTTGTGTTTTCAAGCAACAATTTTAGCTAACAATATATTCGCGAAGGCTTTCACGGCTGGGATCTAATGGTTGTTGTGGGTTTTTCGGGCTCTTTGGCCGTGTTCTGAAGGTTGTTCTTCCTAACGTTTCGCCAGTCTCTGTGGCCGGCATCTTCAGAGGGAGCCTGAAAAACCCACAACAACCAATTTTAGCTAACCACCGTCTTGTCACGTTTGAGCTAGCACATATAGAAGTAATAGTGGAGGGGGAAAAACTGAAAGCAAAAGGTTCATATAGGCTGAGACATGTAAAGTAAACCACATTTTCATGTTACAATAAAAAAAAACGCAACTAATTCCTTGATAGTTTTTGGGATGGTTCTGAAAATAGATTTTCTTCGAAGATGTTAATGTCTTAATTAGCAGTATAGGGCAGTGTTTCTCAAACTTTTGGAGTCCAGCCCCCTTTTATAGTAAAGCCCAGCCACGGTTGCACAAAAAGGCATTTTCAATGGGGTAAAGAAAACATATTAAAAATAGTTTTTTAAAGAATAAAATTATAACCTAACATATTAATATTAATGTAATAATATAATTAATTAGGGGGACAGATTTAATTGTAAATCTGTCTCAAACAGATAAAAATTGAGAAATAAAAAAATATGCTTTGAGTTAAATTTAGTTTTTTGACTACGTAAAGTACCCTCCCTTCATGTCTCCTTCCTCCCCAAAAAAGCCACCTCAGTGAAGAGTCCCTCCCCATCAACCTCCCTCATGACCCCCCCATCCTGTTTCTTCTCCCTCTTCCTTTTGCCCCCTTTGCCTTCCTCCTCTATGACTCACGAGGGGCACAGAGGCATCTCCCCACCCTGCCCCCCTCTCCCTTCACTGTGCTCCCATTGCTGCACTTGGAAGAGCGGGAGACTCAGAGGGAGCAAAAGGTGCCACTACTGTCACAGCAACTTTTTGGCACAGAGGCATCTCCCCACCCTGCCCCCCTCTCCCTTCACTGTGCTCCCATTGCTGCACTTGGAAGAGCGGGAGACTCAGATGGAGCAAAAGGTGCCACTACTGCCACAGCAACTTTTCAATCCTGCCGCCATCTTGGGCGTCGGTGTTCCCAGCATGCACTGCTAACGTGTCTCATTCAGGCCTCTTTGAGTCCAGCTAATGCTCAGGTTCAAAGGGCTGACATCAGTCCTCAAACAGTGGATGCAGAGGAGCAGAGAGACATGAGCAAGAGTTTAGAGGGGGTAGGAGTGATTTTAATGCATAAAAGGAAAACCTGCCCAAAGGGGTACAGAAATAATGAAGAACTCTAAGTTGCCTGCAATTCAAGTTCAGTTTAAATTTATTTATCTACCTGTGAGTCAGCACTGTGTATACCATACCATATCTGTCTGTAAAACAGCACTGTGTATACCACATTTAATATAATAAATATAAAAATAATTGCCACTAAAAATAACTGAGGGGAACCCCCCCTAGAAAATAATTTGTGACTCCTATGGGGGTCAAAACACCCAGATTGGGAACCTGTGGTACAGGAGCCACTGCTCCTCATTAAACAGATTAAAAAATGCAAACAGCTGAATCAGTCTATGTCAACTGAGTGAGTATGCAGATGTATCATAAAGTTAATAGCTTTTATTTGCCCATTCAAGACCAAACCATCCTCAGATACTTTACATGTCAGGAAGGACAGCTTGCAACAATAAGTTCTTCCTGGGAAAATCCTTTTCTTTCCCAGCTATTGTGAAGATTGCAAGAAAGCTCGGAGGCCACGTGGAGGTCTGATGAGGGAATGGCAGATGATACCACAGACCATGCTACTCAGAGGCCTGAGGCTTTGAGCCTGTGAGCAATGGCTCTACTACATTGTTGCTCTGTTTCTGACTGGGTTGTTGGAGCCACAGGTGTTCCATCGTTATTCAATTAAACTCTGTTATATAGGATACTCTATGTAACAGTATTTTAAATCCATTTTTGTATTTTCAAAAAGTATCAAAGGGGGCATCTAAACATCACAAAATATCCTTAAAATACAAGAGGAAAAGTCAAACCTTATTCTCTCCAACTACTCATTATGAGAACGGACAAAAAGAAGACCTTTAATGATTTTTTAATTTTATTTCTCTAAGAGAAGAAATAAAAAAAAGAGAGAAATAAAAAAGAGAGAAATAAAATTAGATAATTTAAGCACAGCTAGATGCTTTTAGGTGTGGGGTTATTCTGTATGTACTCATTTCCTCCATCCTTTATACTCTTACATTTCTTTTGCATTTTAAAAAAAACTCCTGGTCAAAAGCCCAGTGAGAGGAAACAGATGGCTTCTTTGCCTTCTACCCTGCATGGGTCACGCCTTCTTTTTTCCTACAAATTCAGATAAATGTTATACATCCCACCGGACACTTTGATAACATCCGTCCTTCTTACCATGCATGTTTCTCCATTCGCCATCTACATACATATAGATGTATATAGAGCATACATGGAAGCAGACTGGCTGTCCTGCTGGCAGAGATGGGCTGCCATTTCAGCACCACAGGCTCATGAGCAACAGTTCACTGGAGATATATTATGATTATCTGGACATTATGATTCTGACAGTTCATGCTGCCCCCGGGGGTTCGATACAGATGCCAGGAACCTGTACAGCCCTCAGGCCTGATGGTGCTTCTGCAGCATTATACATTCCGAATGCATAAAAAATTAAGCTAGATCATATTCGCTGTGTTTAAACAACAGCTGTCTTCTATTTCCTGCTATCTATTAGTTTGGGGTTTATTTGCAAGTGCTGGCTCGTTTCTGTTTCTTGTTATTGTTCCACTGAACAAAGCATGCAACAGACACAAAACAAGTAATTCTTTCACTACTGTGGATGTTATTTATCACAAACAAAGCCAACATTTACAGATGGGTTTCTGCCTTCAAATTGGATTATCACTTGAACAGAAGCTCCTTACACCACCATTTCCCCCAAATGTTTTACACAGTGTGTCTAGAACAAGGGCAAGCTTTGTTCTCCAAAGATGTGAGGACCACGCAGTTCAGTCTCTGGACCTTAGAAGAATGCACCCACATCCACACCAATAATCCTTCCTCCCCCCACCAAACATGTGAGGTTACCACAAAAAAACACCATCTCACACCCTCTAATAAAGTGCATTTTAAATACTTCAAAATGTGTTTCAGAAGGGTGGTATGAGGGGGCTTTGCTGTGCTTGGGCCCCCTCAAAACAAGGCAACATGGCTCCCAGCCCCCCTAGACAGCAGAAGAGGAATTTTTGAGCAAAACTTTTTCCAAACAAAAATGGGGGATTCTGTGTGCTGGGAGGGTCCCTTCGCACTGCTGTATCGCTTATGAGTCACTGTTGCCCGCCTATGCGCTACCAAAATAAAACTTCTAAGTATATCTTTTTAGCATTTGTGCATCATATCCTCTAACACAAATAATGTTAATTCATCATAGATACCTTGATCCCTGCATTTCATGCATAGGCAATATTTTGGTGTGGGTGGCCATGGGCTATAGGCTATGTGTTGCCCGCGCATGACTAAAGAGACCCATACCAAAAAACAGCTGCCTGCATTTGCGTCCCTTGTTAGATGAGGAACCACGGTGGAAAGAACTGAAGGGAAACAGATTGGGGAGAGTGACTAAAAGCGCTATCTAGAGAAAACGATTAAAAAAAATTGAAGACTTTCACTCCCACATGTCAGTCATTTAACAACAACTCTGCAGCTAAGGTTTGTGTCTCAATACATTTCAGTGTTCTGCTTTCAGTAGCAAGCATTTTATAACATGCCTTCCCAATCACATTGTAGTGGATGGAACTAGTAACACAAATACCTTTTAAAACTATAACTAGGACAAGAATGATTAAAAAATATGTTTCCATCCAGCATATAAACTAAGGATCTGATTTTAACTTTTTAAAGTAGAAAAAAAATTCAACCAGATAGAAAATGTTGACAAACAGCTCAAAACTCACAGTTCTATTGCCTTGTTCCACATGATGACATATCCAGAAAGTATGAAGGACTCAATATTTACAATGTGAGTATTTCCCCTCTCTGTTCCAACATAAAGCCATTTGCTTTGGAAAGGTAAGTGACAGAAAGTAATCCTGTATGAAGGAAAAACACAAGCCAAGTTACACTAATGCAGCTATATCACTTTTTCATGCACAGATTATATTAAACAGCAGCAGCTAAACTGGAGTTTTCCAACACATACAGAAAAAAAAAAGAGAGATTAGCATTACAGACAATCTTGTTTCCTGAGAAATCAACAATTATCCAGCATCTTCAATCTACAAGGAAACACTAAAACAATGAAGAATTTGCATCTTTAGTTGTTGTGAAACCATTCATTTCTGCTAATGTTTTTTTGGCCGTGGTCAAAAAAAGGTTAAGGATGGCTGGTTTAAAAAACAGGGAAAAGAAGTGGTAGAGTATCAGGATTAGTTGCGCAGATATCACTGTTTCCAAGCTGCTCAGTGTGGTTTTCATTGAGTTTTCACCCAATCTTTTAATATTCCTGCTAGACAGTCCAGGCTGAGACACGGACCAAAGTATTTAAACTTGCCCCCCCCCAAATTAACTCCATCACTGTTTATATTCTAAAATAAGTAGACATAATATTTTTTTCAGTCAGTCTTTAAGTGCAAAACTGAAATCGAGAATCAACCCATTTTAGTGGTGTCCAGAACCCTATTTATATTTGCATAAAGGAAATTACATGATGGTGCGACTAGATGAGGAGGCTGCCCTGCTTTGTTTTGGGCCAGTTTCAAATTTCCTATGGCAGTTAAATTACTGCTGTTATTCACATAGAATGTTTAACTATCGTGGGCAATCTGGGGGACAGTCCATACTGCACATCAAATAGCTACAATTCTCAGTGGGTTCGCTGGTTTCCCACCCTTGGCACGGTCCTCTTCCACACAGTTTTTGTTTAGAAACTTTTTTGGCAAGTGACATAGTGCTAAATTGTTATAACAAGTCAAGAAACTGCAGTGCTTATCTTACTATCTTACTATAATGCTATCACTACACTGGAAAACCATAGCAAAATAATTGTTCAAATAAGAGACAAGAAGCATTGCACCAGCACATCTTTCAGCAGAGCATGGTATGCTGGGGGGGGGGGAGATAACATGCCCAACAATTAAGTGCCTTTCGTTTCCCTTCCAAGCATTTTTTTTTAATTATAGGAAGCATATTCTCTTTCTAAATATTCCTGCAGATTTATCAGATTTTAACATTTAGAACTGCATTTAGTATTGCATTTATCATCTCTCAGCATAATATCCCTGCAAAATTCATTTAGTTTGTAATCATCTCGTTCACAAAGTATAACTGTGAACTGTCGTTTGCATGCCTATTGTGATCCTCGGAGTTTTGAGCCTTCCTTTAATGAATACAAATCTCTCATTTGAATCTAGCAACCGCTTCTGACTGATGAGTAATACTACCTCTCTCATCTTTGGTGTCCCTATGCACTATACTAAGCTTTGAAGTATGTATGCTTCAAAAGTTTCTTTATTTTCTTTTATGACATGTCTCCTGTCCTAAGATCCATTTCTTGTAACTCTCCTAACACTGTACTGTTATTTGTTTATTACTTTGCAAATTTCTGTTAGTTCTTTGGTGAATGCTGTCATTATTTTTGCCTCATACTGAATGAGTACTATGAAAGAGAATCTCCATCAATATTTATTTCTGTAGTAAAAATTTGACTTAATTATGTTTTTTGAGGTTTTCTAGGTTAAGATCTTGAAACAATACGGTTTTCTTATACAGTAGTTGCACTTTTTCCACTGCATTTAAATCAATGAACACTTGGGTCTTTTTCTGAAAAGCTGATGTTGTCTATGGAATGATTTCGATTTGGAAGTCATGCATGATGTCTTGTCTGGTCTGGTTCAGGTCAAGGCCTAGATAAATGTCATGCAGCCATTGCATCTGAAGGGCTGCTGTCTCCAGTCCTTCATCTTGTCCTTACTTCTCTGAGTCTTAAATTTCTATATACATTCCTGTTTTCCAGATCATAAACTCTGGTTTGTAATTCTTCAGCATTATTTTTGCTTTGTTTTTTTAGGTCCTCCATTATGCTTTCGTTATCTAAGCTGAGGTCTAAAACAGTGGTTCTTAACCTTTGTTCGTCGTTGTTTCGTCGTTTAGTCGTGTCCGACTCTTCGTGACCCCATGGACCAGAGCACGCCAGGCCCTCCTATCTTCCACTGCCTCCCGGAGTTTGGTCAAATTCATGTTGGTTGCTTCGCAGACACTGTCCAGCCATCTCATCCTTGGTCGTCCCCTTCTCCTCTTGCCTTCACACTTTCCCAACATCAGAGTCTCTTCCAGGGAGTCTTCTCTTCTCATGAGATGGCCAAAGTACTGGACCCTCAGCTTCAGGATCTGTCCTTCCAGTGAGCACTCAGGGTTGATTTCCTTTAGAAAGGATAGGTTTGTTCTCCTTGCAGTCCAGGGGACTCTCAAGAGCCTCCTCTAGCACCACATTAACCTTTGTTACTTGGATGTTTTTGAACTGCAACTCCCAGAAACCCCAGTCAGCACAACTGGTGATGAAGGCTTCTGGGAGTTGCAGTCCAAAACTCCTGAGTAACCCAAGGTTAAGAACCAGTGGTCTAAAACATCACTTGTTCTTTCTTTGTTGGTCAGTTTCTCCACTATAACTGTCAGGTTTTGAGCTAGAACTTCAGCTCAGCTACCCAGTCCTCCTACAAACAGAACCTAAGCTGTTGGAGTAAGTCTTTCATAGATTCCTCAAAGTTCCTCTTATTGCTACACCTGCTTGTTTTACTCCTTCTGTGTTTCTACGCATTATGTAGGAGTAAGTCTTTCATAGATTCCTCAAAGTCTAAGTTCCTCTTATTGCTACACCTACTTGTTTTATTCCTTCTGTGTTTCCACGCATTATGTTCTCAGCATTTGTCTCCATGCTTTTTCTGATGTCTCTTTCCAGCCTCTATTTCACTGTACATTTCATTCCTCTCTTGAAATGCATGACTAGATTATCCTTTTCTGCTTTTTGTGTCATTTTAGATGTTACACTTTGTTAGAGAATTGCAGAGAGATTCACTTATGCTACCAAATTGTTTGACAGGTAGCTACACCCTCTGCCTTTTGCTTATAAAGATCCTAACAAGGTCCATTTAGATACATGTGCATAATTGGGCATGTATGTAGATGAGGACATACTGTAGCCGTGCCCACTGAAGGTACAACGCACGCCTCACCCCATCAATATCCTCCAAGGTGTTTTAACATCATAGATAACCCTTGAGGAATCCTGCAGGCTAAAAACATTGTTCTCCTTTGAGGTTCTGTTTATATGCAATGAATGCATTGCCTTGGTAACTAAAGTCAGAATGAGTAGGAAATTAGTTGTGTGGGAAGGAGTCTGCTAGAAGCACAGAAGCTCATCATTGTCACCGAACTTCTCAGAAGACCATGCCCAGATTAATGAAGATGTTGACAAAGGCATGACACGAAATGCTGAGCTATTAGAGGCAAAAGAGCAAGAAATGTACAGGGCCGCACACTCTCTCTCTCTACACCTTCACAATGGGGCTGGGCGCAGGTTAGCTCTTTATAAGACAATTAATTTGTTCACTAATAACCAGTTGCTGGCTTGTGTGCATCATAAAATATTTCAGGCAAAAGAGACATGACAATAGCATAAGCAGTTTGCCAGAATGTGGGTTGAACTGATTTCCTATCAAGGAGGGAGCTGGATGGGACAGCATTTTAAAACAGGGTTTAGGAATGTGTGGCCCTTCAGATGGTGTGGGACTGCATCTCCCATTAGCCCTACATAACATAGTTCGTGGTAAATGATCACAGCAGATGCAGTCCAACAACATCTGAAGGGCTGCATATTCCCCTGAAAAGTTATCATTCCAGCAGTTTGGAGCCCAAGAGATGTGCTACTGGAAGGGAAGTCACAAATCAGGGGTGATTCAGCATCCTGTTCCTCCACACCCATCCTATGTTTTAAATTGCCCAGTTCATCCCATACCCTGCTTGATATGTGTTATGTGCTGGACATATGTAGTATGCCTTTTAGTTACAATCTCTGATGAGAGTGGTGAGGAATAATGCCTCTGGTTTCATTCTAAGCTTCAAATATGTTCATGCACTGCTCAATAGCTCAGTGGTTTAGGTCTCTGGCTGCAGAGCCAAAGGTTGGGAGCTGACTTTCCCCTTGTGCCTCCTTGACAGGGGCCAGACTTGATGATCCAGAGGGTCCGTCCCTTCCAGATCTGCATTTCTAAGATCTTTCTTAAGATTATTATTTTGAGATAATTTCATGCTAAAGCCATTCAGGCTAGCGTGTGTCCATTTGCAAGGACACGCTGCTTCTAGACATAAATATAAATTCTATGTATATTTCAAAGCAAACTGAACCAAGTTACTGTCAGAGCTTGGAAGATGTAGGTTGGTGTCTTGCTACATAAATGCCAAACACAAGTGAAATTGCATCCATATATCTCCTGTTCCAGCAGACTTCCTGTAGCATGACCAATCTCAGAATCAGTGTGAGAACCTGAACTCAACGGGGAGCCTTCTAGAGCACTGGTCCCCAACCTTGGGCCTCCAGATGTTCTTGGACTACAACTCCCGGAAGCCTTCACCACTACCTCTACTGGCCAGGATTTCTGGGAGATGAAGTCCAAGAGCATCTGGAGGCCCAAGGTTGGGGACCACTGTTCTAGAGCACTGGGGATGCTTACAAAATTTCCTTTCCATGCCGCGTATAGGCAACAGATTTACAGTTTTATACTGTATTGCAAGTCTGAAAACTCCCCAGCCGACATGCCCAACCTTTTCCCTTTTCTCTTCATACAACTGCTAGACAAGACAGACAAACAAAGGTGACCCATAAACACGCTCCAAAGGTTTGGCTTGGAAAAACAACAATACCTAAAAGTGCCATAGGGATCTGCAAATGAGAGGGACATGCTCAATTAGAACATGCTCGGTTAGGACTAACCCTTCATTCTTTCCCCCATCAAGAAAAAAAGCAGCCAGAGATGGGGGTGATTTTTGCACTAAAACACACAGCAGGAGAATGAAGAGGATCAAGCTGCTCCCTTCCCTAATATTCCTGCTTTCGAGCCAGTAGCCTCCTGCAGCTGCTTTGCAGTAAACGGCAGGTTTGTACATCCGCTAAATACGATGTAATCCAGCAATTAGGACTACTTCAAAACTCAGATGCTGCAGTACATGGTTTTGAGAGTTACTTCGCCCCTCCCTCCTGCTTTGCCTCCTCAATAATGACAAAGAGAAATGATGTCAGTGTGAGGGAGCCATGGCCAGACTGTACTTGAGCTCTGTACATAAACTGTTTAAGATCATTTGCACCAGTATAATTAAGTAGGTCCATGGGTGTCTGGGAGGGAGGCAAAAGGAGGAATCCTAGACTGATTTATTAATCTAATGAATGCAGAGTTGACAGAGGATGTTGCAGTGGCACGCACCATCCTGCTGAATCATGCTATGTAACATACCACTACACAGTCCCCTTCCCCAAAGATCCCCTGCAGACAATGCTTGAGTTGACAGAGGATGTTGCAGTGGCACGCACACCATGCTGCTGAATCATGCTACGTAACATACCACTACACAGGCCCCTTCCCCAGCCAACACACACAAAGATCCCCTGCAGACACTGCTTGAGTTAGACGGCAGCATCCAGCAGTAAGAGCAACAGAAGGAAGGGTAAGGTTAAATCTGAAAATGTGTCATATCTTACCGTTCTCGATTAAATTTCAGAGAATGGAGAATTGCTGGCCGTTTCTGCCGCAGATTCCACAAATGAAGCATGTCATCTGAACTGGCACTGACCAAAGCACCCTATTGGGATGACAGGAAAGTGGCATACCAAGTGAGACTACCGCCTTACGGTCTTTGTTGCACTTCAAGAAGCTGATTGGAGCATCCGTGTTACTTCTTGGGACAATTCTTCTAGACCTCATGGGGATTTGGGGCCTATTCCGCATGCCACCTTTTGGAACATTCTAGAACTAGGTCAGCGTTTTGGTGGAGGCATCCTCTCCACTTTTCAGTTCTGTTCCTTTTGGCCACTCACTCCATCAGCATCTCCATTAGAGATTTTTTTTTAATGCTTTTCCCTTCAAAACTTGAGCTTTCAAAATAATAATAATGTGATGTCATTTCCCCTTTTAATTGTTATAATGATTTATTAGGTTTCTTTTTTTAGTGGTCTCTTCAAAATGGTAAATTCATATTACTCCATTTTATTACCTTGTGGCTGTGTTGACTATTTCTGAAGACAATGAATGGCGTTTGCTTGCGAGTAAATATTAATCAGATGGCACTGCACAGATATAAGTATATAATAGATAATAACTTCTATTTTAAGCATTTTCCCAAGACTAACTTGTGCAGTTATTTACATGGTGGCATGCATAAGTTATCTATAGTTGGATGACAGTTGTCTTCTCCCTCAAAAAACCGAACATGATAAACATGCCTGTCCTCAGTTTGCTGTGGGTTCAGCCCCCAGGTTCCTTTTTTGCTTTTGCATATCAGGTATGTAGCAACAAACAGAGAATCAAGGATCGGAGAAATGCCTGCCACAAGAGGTCACTTGCTGCTGAAGCTCTCTTGATGCCCGAGTTAGGAAGCACGGCACATCCTCGCATTTTGACAAGATTGCAGCACCAGGCGCCCCCTGGAGTGTTGGTAAGCCAACCACCCCACCTTAACCAAGAAGGAGGCACTTAGACACACAAAGAAAGAGAAGGCAACAACACATTCCAAGCCTTCCTCATCATGAAAGGAAGTGGAAGGCATGGCAAAGATGGAGCAAGCTGTTATGCTGGTACCAGTAACTCCACATGCCACAAGAGGAGAATTAGGAGGTGGCAAAGTGGGAGAGCATTAGGTGTACCTAGAACTGACTGTTATGGTTCCAAAGCACTGCGGGAAGTTGTTTTCTATTTCCTCAGAGGTCCTCAGAGCTTGGTATTTAAAAAAAGAGAAAAAATCTGGAGATCTGCATGTAGTAACAAAAATTCTCCAAAGCAACAAGGCCATCCTGGGGTAGCGGTGTGAGGAGCACTTACATTTGCTGCTTCCTCTAGTCTGCTGTCTCATTTATGTATATTAAGAGTGAAGTGAAGCATGAGGGTAAAAGGAATGTACTCTAGCACCTTCCATTATAAAGGTTTCTAAAACTGCTTCACTTTTGGAAGAAGTGAAAAATGACCATCTACACAGATTATGTTAATACAGCCTATTTTTTTTTAAATAGGAGAAGTTTCTGGATGTAAAATAACTGAAATGAAGGCTAGATTTATATAAGGCATCATTTAAATGAAACACTTCTAGAAATTCTAAATTTACTTCAAGTGTAAGGGTCTCTGAAGCTTGAAAGATATTCTGACATATTTTTAAGAAAAGTCAGTAAAGATTTGTTTTGAACCAGTTCTGAAAACGATACAATTAGATTTCCAAATATGGAAGAATTTTAAGATACCATAAGCTATGATTATACTTATTCAAATGAGTATAATTCTGGGAATTCATATTTTTGTCACCTCACTCCTTGAAACTGGGAATACAACAAAAAATGGATGGAGAATTTTCAGTCAACTGGGAAGAGGCAGAGTTCATATGGAAACTCAAATAAAAACATGAAGTTTCATGCCCTGAACACACATGAGTATTTGTGAACTTGATTACTTTCTTTCTTTTCTTTTCTTTTCTTTTCTTTTCTTTTCTTTTCTTTTCTTTTCTTTTCTTTTCTTTTCTTTTCTTTTCTTTGAGCCATTTTAATGGTACACTTTATTAGGTGGTGATCCGACCATGACAAGGGTTGGATCACGGTTTCTTTCTTTCTTTCTTTCTTTCTTTTCTTTTCTTTTCTTTTTTGCATAGAAACCCTAAGAATCCCTTCAGGACTCAAAATCCTAACAATAATCATTCCTGCCATTTGTGAATGGAGATGGACACATGTAACACCCCACTCACATAAGGGAGGAAAGAGAAGAACATGCCATATAAAGGAAAATTACTGTGATTGCCTCCTCCCCATATAGAATTACAGAATAGAGGTGGAAGGGTCTATAAGGCCATCAGGTCCAGGGCCCTGATCAATGCAGGAATCCAAATCAAAATCGGTCTGACAGAGGGCTGTTGAATTTTCTCTTGAATTCCTCCAGCACTGGAGCAGCTTCAGTAGAATGACCCTGGTTTCTAGTGCTGCGTGAGTTCTCTTTAGCCACTTCATTCACATTATGCAAGATTTTATGAATCACAATCATATCTTTACGCCTACTAAAATGTGCTAAACATAGTGATTTTTCACTGAGGGAGGGATTTCAGCTTCCATACCATTTCAGTTGTCCCTCTCTGCACAATTTTTAGTCCTACAGTGTCCATTTTCAGATAACACAACCAGCAGTTGTACAAATTTTCCCAACTGTGGCTGCACCCAGTGGCAGCTTATGGACCGCTCATCTGGTCAGATCGACCACTCTGAACGGGGAACCCAAAACAGTTCAGGAAATGCGTTCCCTAGTCCACAGGCCAGAAGCAGGGGTGCTGTAGATTTGTGTAGCTATAGCCTTACCTCGTTAATTAAAAACTGAAGCTGCAGAACTGCAGCACCGCTTTCGTGTTCACAGTAACAGTCAACACCTGGTCTGCCCAATCTGTTAAGAGTCAAAGTTAAGGATCAGTCTGCCTATTTTAACACCTGAAATATAATAATAATAATAATAAAAACATAATCCACAGTCAACCATTGTTTTTACCACTTAGAAAACATTAATATGAAAGCAGGCCATAAAAACAAATAGAGATAGGTCAATAATAACTGAAGAAGTAACTTATGCATATGGTTAGCATACTGATTTGGAGAGGAAAATGGGCAAAAGCTAACAGAACTTGGAATCAAATAGTTCACTGTATCCTCTCTCCCTAACAACACTGCTCCTTGTCACATTGCTGGCCAGCTATGATTTTAAACCATATTTAAGGCTTTAAGAAGCAAAGAATATACTTGTTCAGGGACATTACAACAGCCCATGAAGTCCCAATTAATCATTCATAATGGTAACTTAAAATTCAATTACTTCTAAAGATCCAAACTTCAGCAGCTAACAAAGCATTACTCACTCACTGCTGTATATCAGTAGTCTGAAGCACCAGCATTAACCAACTGGCTACACAGATTTTGAGATTTTATAATTATGAACAGATTAATTGGACAACGTCTTAGCCAAATGACTTAAATTAAGAGGTAACCAACAAACCTATAAGAACGACAAATACTAACAAACACAAGATAAGCTTCCTAAAAAAATTGCTCCTAAAATTCTTAATTGCTTTCTTATTACATTTTCTTTGTATTTTCTAGCACACATTCCAATCCGAACCTAAGACGAATTGTTTTGATCTGATTTTGTGATATACCTCAGGTGTTCCTTGAATATGTTAAAAGGATCTGATAAAGAAGATTTACTTCCATCTCCAGGATATTATCTTCATGTCTCTGCCTTTTTAGAAAGGTAACTTGTTAAAGCACTCCCATGGTTCTGCAATACCTGAAAGTGTCTGTGCAGTGCTAGGGTAACAGCACTCAGTTTTAGGGGGCTATCTTTTTACATGAGTCTTGCCAACACAAGGCTCTTTGCAAAGGTCTGAAATTTTAGATCAAGTCACAAAAGCCACAACAACAGCATGAACATGCACATCAAAACTGGATGCTATGAAAAATATATAGCCCTGATTTCCATGCACCAGCAAGGTGCCATAGCAGGAGTTGCTTTCAGAAATGTTCTATGGATTTTCTTTAACTCAAAATCTGTCAAAACTTATATCTTATCACATCACCACTGCCCCATAGAATCCATAGAACATTATCTTTCATATAATAGTGCACAAGGGAGGCAGTTTAAAGGCAAAATATTTTAAGGCTCTAAAATAAAAAGATAGGTACAAATATATAACACCACACCAAAGATAGGTTATTTAATTGCTGCTGCTACACACATGTACCTATTGAAATTTGGTAACCTCAATAAAAGGAAGTAAGGGCCTAATTCCTCCGGCAGGAACATAGGAGCTTCTAAATCAAATAGGGGTCACATGTCAAAACTGTATATTATACACTCCCAGAGAACTTAAAAGAAAAAAATTCTAACACATCTACACTGCATATAAGAACATGTGACAGTTAGTGGCCGGTCAATGACATGTGTATGCATTAATCACAGGCTGGCTGTGACTCTATATCAACAGATATATGCTTCTATATCAACAGAAGATGGAAGGAGCCAATGAGCTATGATGTTAATCCTGCTCTTCTACCTCCCATATACACATAGGTTCAAACTGCCAGATGCCATAGCTCTGCACCTCCAGGGTTGCCAAGACACTCAGATGCCATTTCGGGCAGTAGAAATCTGAGCACTGGACATTTCTCAGTCAATCCCACCCCTTTTCCAGTTGAATCCCACACAGAGCAGGAAAGACTAGCAGCCCAGTAAGCCACCCAGCTGTTCTGCAACAGACATGGGCAGAGGCAGGCATTAAAAGACAGAAGGCTCTGGGACAAGGATTGTATCCCCAGGCTGAGAATAAGACCCATATAAGAAGGAGTTTTGCCTAGAAGGAGCAGAAGCAAAGGGAAACAACAAAAACAAACCCAACTAGAAAAGAATCCTTGTTAGGTCATCATGAAATCATGTGTATAATGTGAGGGAGGGAGTTCTGTACGGAGGGGTATTTCCCTCTAGTTCTTCATGCCTTAAGAGCCAAGCTGAAGCCCTCACTCAACATCTGAGAATTCAAAGAGACATAGGACACAGACATAGGGCCACTAGCCCACTGAGATAACCAACAACCTCTCATACGATTGCCCTGCTTTTTTTTTGCATTCACCTCTTCTTCTGCTTCTCTTCCTGTGCAGATCTCCTCATCTTTCTTCCTACTTCATACCCCTTCTGCTAATCAAAACTGTGGTGCTATAATAGCAGCAATCGGGGACAACATGCTATGCAGAGGCGTCTCCCTTTCCCTTGGAGCCTAAATGGAAATAATGTGGAGTAGGAGTAGACCTTGATCTGAGAGTAGAGTGGTGAACCCCCCTTTCAGATTCCGCCCCACCATGTAAGACTCATACTGCAAACAGCCACGATGAATGACAGATATGGAGGAGGTGGACTCTTCTAGATCCACTGATCACAGAAGACTTACCTGGAATGCTAAGAAAACAAAGAGTCCTATGGTAGCTTAAAGACTAATTCATTTAATGGATAGTTTTATTAGACAAACCCCAAAGCACAAAAAACTGCAGCCTTTCAACAGAGCACTGTCTTCATCAGGTAAGAATTTAGAAAAAGCCTCAAGCAAGGTAATGGGAACAAAAGACAGTGGCTTCTGCCCATCCTGCTTACTTCCTACATCTTGCCTTGGGGAAGACAACATTCCTCTGAAAGGTTGCATTTTTAAGTGCTTTTGCTCACCTCCTTTTTGTACCCTTTGCATTGCCTTGGTAAAAAATTTGGAGTTTGTACTTTACCAATGTGGCTCTCCCTGCATATATTTTATTTAGCAGAATTTTGTGGAACACAACCCTTTTTCATTTCCGATGCAACGAGTGCAGTCTCACTAGGCAGACACCAAGGTTGCACTCCATGCATCTGATGATGTTGGCTGCAGTTCAGAAAAGCCTATGCCCAATAAAAACGTGTTAATCTTAAAGGTGCCACAGACTCTTTGTTTTCAGTACAACAGACTAATACGGCACCTCTTGAAGCCCTAAGTCCCGTCTAGCCATCATAGTAGGACCATACGTTTGCTCTTTCACTGATTCATGGTAAGGCTTTCATCAACCAATGAAGCCAGTGACTAAACCTTCCTCATCTTTCCTGCCAGTTACCCTGGCAACCTGTAATTTATCATGTTTCCTGCCAAAGGTTTCATATGAATTAATGCAGTATGAGATCTTTTGTAGGTTCCAGTATGTAGCAGAACAAAGAAACTGATAGGTATTTATTCATAGTAACCTTGTAATTCACGGGATGGAGACTGGAAGAAACACAGTCAGAATGTTAGTTCCTCAACATGTGCTTCGGGTTTCTACAATTGCTGCACCAGACGTGAGGCAGATGGCTGCATAATCTACCCCCAAATATGGTGCATCTTCAAAGCTGGAGGATATTATGTTGACTTTGAGTGTAGTAGAAGCAAGCAAGTGCATCTGTACTACACTTTGCTAACTTAAGTATATATTTACAATGTTGGTTCCATTTAAGGCTGGACTAAAAATAGAATATGAAATATTTAAATGATTTAACCCATTCAGAGGTGTTTCTCTTTAAACCTTAATGGAACCTTTCCCAAGATTGACAATTTAGTGAATTTCAAAGGGGTTCACAAATTTATAACGTGCTTCTCCTCCTCTCCCCACCCCAAGCTCCAGACAAATTCTGTTTATGCTGCACCTTTTCTGGGTTTATTCTGCGTGGGTATGGAAGAGAACTGATGGACTGGAGTGATGTTTGTTCTGCTGATAAATGACCAAAACAGTCAGGGAGTAGGAAAGCACACAAAGCCGGGTGATAATGAATTTATCCAGCCCCATAGAAATAGCAAACTATATAAATTATTTAAATTGTATTGAATCTGACCAAAGAAGTATAAGGAGAAAAACAAAATGCATGGAAAAAAAAGTAAAATGCAGGCATCGTTGTCACTCTGTTTTGCCCAACAGCAAAGGATACATGCGAATGGCACCTGTTCTTGTCCCAATAGCCAGAATTTTCTGAACTGGGTCAAAAGCTAAGGCAGTGGGCAGATATGGAAACCCATGGCGAACAGTCTGCAAGAGAAAACATAAGCCTGATTGATGGACGATAATTGTAGTAATAATTTAGCTAACATATATGTTTTATAGTCTGACTAACCCAATTGATTAATAGACCACCAACAGAATCAAGATACGTTGATTAATCGAGTAACAGTCTAGATGAACCAGATGAATTCATATATTTTTACCTACTGCAGTTCCTCAGTAGAGATGCTCCTTAGCATCAGAAATTTTAACGATCTTGAAGGACAGATGAGTTAAAATGAAACAAAAAGAAAACCTACAGCAGCAGAAAGTCTGGAAGAACTTGAAAAGAACAGGAGACCCATCAACAACAGGGCTTTCTGTAGAGTTGAATGGGAATCCTGAGGTGTTGAAGTAAATGCATTCATCATCAGCCCCAGCCAACACTGCTAATGCTGAGGGGAGCTCCACTCCAACAGCATCAGGAGAGCAACACATGCCCCATCCTTGAGTTTAAAGGGTCTCAAGCATCCGGGCTGCCAAGCAGAGTAGCACAGAGAGCACAGACAGAGTTCTGACTCCTGTCCTCTGAAGGTGCCGGCCACAGAGACTGGCGAAATGATAGGAAGAAAAACCTCCAGAACACGGCCAGACAGCCCGAAAAACCTACAACAACCATCGGATCCCACCCGTGAAAGCCTTCGAGAATACATGAAACGTCACTTACTTTTCACTCATTATGCACACTTTATACCACTTTTTAATTATACAATCCTCAACCCCATTTCAAAATGTCAAAGAATGCACTCTCAACAAAAAATATTTTTAAAGACTTGTGACTACAAACATGCTCTAATTGGTATATCTGATCTGGCAATATTGGCAATAACAAGAATTATCAAGAACCTCTGTAGCTAAAATACAGAACAAAGAACACAGCTGCACCCCTTTTGTTTTCAGCACATTTTAAGATGTGCCTCTTTCTTAAGGGAAACTAGAAATGCAACACAAAAATAATTTTACAGGTTCTAGAATCAACAACAGCACTGATATAATATAGAAGAACGACTTCTATGTTTCATAACATGATAAGTAGCATGAAAACTCCAAAACTCTTTGTTTGCACTCTATAAAAAGAAAAAAAAACCTGCCCAAAAGTTCTTCTACTGCCCCATAGGAGTTAGAATGAGGAGTACCATGACCTCTGAAAATATTTTATTATTATTATAATTTGATTGGTCACTAGATTGCTCTGGGGGCTTCTTCAGTTTATAAAAGTCAGATTTTTATGGTTAAAGAATTTTTAATTACCAGATACTTAAACATTACAGGATATAACCAGTACTTTAAATGAAATGTTAAAATAACTATAAAGAAATGCAAATTGTCTATTTTGACCATATCTCCCCATTTTGCTGCACCTCCATAGAAGTGCAGCTCTTAGGCTGCTGGCAATTCTGAAGAATGACTTCAACTCTACTGAGATTGCCCACCACTGCTCTATACCAATGCACAAAGCATGGGAAACAGAAAAAAAAAAGGTTTGGACTTTTAACAAAAGAAGGTAAATATGATATAACAGACATTATTGCAAGTGGGGAGGGAAAGAGATACGTAACTAGAATGTAGTATGTCAGGTAAAAACAAAACAAAAATAGAAAAATAAAGAAGACAAAAGAGTGCCCACTATATTTAATGTAAGCTTTTGTGGGCAAGTCCACTTCTTCAGACAACTATACAATGTAGTAACTGAGAGTTACAATCATGGTAATGTGACCTATTATTTATTATATAGAATCTGGACTACATAACCATGTAGGAGAATCCTCTTGTTTCTGCCTATATAAACAATATATATGTCATAACTATCACTTCTAAGCAAGTAAATATATCTATTTATATTAAGTGTGCATCAAAATATCAGTGTTTACTAAGTTCATATATTTTGTGTATACATTGCATAACAAAGCGAAACAGGTGGCTGCCAAAGAACTACTGTATTATGATCTCAGTGATCTTGCTTGCCGGACTGGATTGTAATAAACAATGTATTCATACTGCAAGTTTTAAGATGCTATAATTTTAGGGCAGTTTTAGGGCACCTTAAACAGACATGGAATCAAACCTTGAGAAGCAATTTAAAAAAAAGACAAATCAAAAATGAAGGAGGAGGAGCATTATACGCAAAGGATGCATTCATCTTTACTTCCTGGAGTATGGAAGGCTGGTCAACAGCATCTGAGTAAAAAATTATATGAGAGGTAAGCAACAACAACATCACTATGAGGGTTTGCTGCAGACTCCATGTTAGACTGAAAGCCTTGATGGTATCTTCTTAGACTGGACAATTATTCTACAAGGAGAAATAAAGGAGCAATGGGATAGTTCAGGTACTCTGTTGGAAGTCGAATTCTGCCACAAATATGAGGTCCAACACATTTCTCGCTTGGCTTCTAACAATCTTATTTTTCCACAAAATAGAAGCAGCAACAAGAGGGTCACTTATCAAGGACCTGATCTTCGGTAAGCAAAGAAGAACATCTCAGCCAAGTTGAAGTAATGGAAACCTTGGCTGGAAAGGTCGATATCTCCTTGGGTTTTCTTATACAGAGAAAAGGAGAACCTAAGTATAGGCAGTCACACAGTTTGCACTTTAAGAAAGCTGATTTCAGGAAGCTTTAGGAAATACTGGGTGACAATATCGCATTGTCAGGTATACTGAAAGCAAAGGTAGTTCACAATGGATGGGAGTTCCTTAAATGATTCCAGTGAAGAAGGAAAATGGGAGGCACAAAAACAAGGGCAGCTGCATAAAGTGATTTGAGATGAGTGGAGGTTTATAAGATTGAAATATATAAGAACTAATGGGAGAGGAGCAAAATTCTAGGGGAAAATATAAGCCAACGTTTATAGGGAGAAGAGCAGAAGATCGAAAGTTCAAAAATACTTCTGGATTCCAAAAGAAGGTAAAATAATAAAAAGGGTTTTTTTTAACTGTGTTTTGAGCAAGATGCAACAATAAATGCAGGGTGGATAAAGTAAAAAGATGTTATTGGAAGACAGCAAGAGAGAAGATTTATTTCTTTGCCTCTGATTTTTTTTCCTAAAAGGACAATACTTATCTTAATTGTTTTTCTACATTTTTGTCTAGTTTTTTTATTTTTAAAACTATAATAGAGACAAAAAGTAGTAACCAAGCTTTTCTTTCTGTATCTTTTTTGTTTTGTTTTTTCTACTTATCTTAATCTTAAAATGTTTAAAGCAAATTTGTTCTCTGTTGCCAAATAAAGTAAGACCTACACCGATACGTTGCCATTGCAAGAAAAGGGAATTTCACTAAATGTTATAATAAGACCTCCCCAATGGAACAAGATGTTCAGTCATGGACCAGACTGCTTCAGTGGGTAGTGGATTCTCCTTAGTTGGAGGTTCATAAGCAGAGGCTGGATGGCCAAAAATACTTTAGGAGGAGACGGCATCAGCAGGGGGATTAAAGGTGGAGCACATGACCTACAGTCAATACACTGTTCCAAGACCAATTATACCACCTCAGCAGACCCCAAAAATATGCTACTGAAACTCAACCATGAATTGCACTGCTGAATTTGGGTGGCAAACCATGAAATGCCATGAAAACAAATAGAAAATGTTTCCAGTTCAATTAATATTTAGACAAAATACTGGGAGGGTAGGAAACTGGCCCCTGGACCCAATGAATTATAGTCCTCTGGCTCAGAAGACCTTTGAGGTCACTTTTGCCTGCTATCCTAAAAGAAAGTCTCTGCCCTTCAACAGTACAGAGCTAGATTCACAGCAGGAAAGGGCTCACTATGACACTTGACATTACTCATTTGTGTCCCACAGTGGTTTATTCCCAAAGCACATCTAAACAACTTGCAGATATGTACAGAGAATTGTATCCAGGGCAAGCTGGGCAACAAAGCTGTAATGCATTCCAGCTTTAAGCCTATTTAGATGGCATGATTAGCATCCTCAATTATGTGGATGAATTAATTGAGTCATGCATTCCGATTTAGAATCAGCTGTCTCAGTGGGCTGAATAGAAATGTGGTAGGCAAGTAACTATCCTTTTTTGCATCCTTTGAAACCTAATTCAGATGGATCAATCACCAAACAACAGAAACTGGGTTGTCAAGGGACAGAGATACCCATTAGTGGAATATAAATAGTTTCTAGTGTGATCTGGCAGGCCATTTTGCTGCTGGCTGCATGACTACACCTGTCCTGATTGTGATCTTGCAGCCCAAGCCTTAATATGGGGACCCATCTGATGCCAGCATGTATATTGTCAACTCTTGACCTTTTTAAAGATCTTCCACTTGGCAAGGGTACTTAATACCAATGGCATTTATAATCAACTCGGGAGTCTCTCCCAATTTTATGGTTCTAGACTTCTGTTGTCCTACCCTAAAAAGCAATAGGTAAAATTGGCTTATATTGTATGAATTTACTCTGCACTAACCTGCATTTGAATGGCAACTTATTCCCATATGAACCTCTCCCTTAGATTAGCTTTAGAGAGCCTACTCTTTATTCCTATCTCTGAAATCTTTCTGATTGGTAAGGGCAGGGCTTTGCAGTGGTAGCCCCACTGACGTCCCTCCTCCAACTCTGTTTGATCCCCTGTCTTATGAATTTTAAGCAGGAAGTGCTTTCCATCAAACCATTTAATTGTTTTATTGTTTTTCTCTCTCTCTAATGCTATATAATGTAATTATGTTACCTGTTACACTGTTTTAACATTTTCTTATTTTAATCCACTTTGTGAGCATGCAGCAGCCTGCCCTTCCCTATTTTTTGATGTAGTTTTTTTAAAGGGGTTTCCCCCCTGGTATAATGACCAGAATGGTTTGTTTTGAAATTATTGAACATATTTAATAGAATGCTGAGGCACAATTAATTAATTTGCTCATACGTATTAAACAACAGGAAGATCAACACATTCATCAATATTTACAATGAGAATAGGTAGTTACTCGGGTTGAAGAGAAGCAATACATTGGCATATGGTGTAGACATGCCTATAGCTTCCAGACATCTGAGAGAAAGCTGAAATGTTAAGAAATCTACTGCATTGAGTCCTAAAATGGCTAATTCCAAGATGGGTCACCGCAGTGGCATCACCCTATTTTACTTTTGGTTCCTTGGTTTCATTTTAAGGGGGGAAAAGAAGAGAAAAAATTGAGACAGGAAGAAAGGGTGACCCAAAGTGCAAGAGGAACTAAATTCTATTTTGAATAGCAGATGTAAAATGATGTTTCAATCACTGTGACATTTCCACCATTCTATTACTCACCAATGTTCCTTCTTCTATATATGTTACAAAAATGTAGTTGGTTGGCTGCTTATTAAAGTTTCCACTTATAAATTGAAATTGAACAGTTGAATTTTACTGACTCTACTGCATGTTTGGTTGGCTGCTTATTAAAGTTTCCACTTATAAATTGAAATTGAACAGTTGAATTTTACTGACTCTACTGCATGTTTGTATACTCCTACAAACATTTAAAAAGACATTTCCAAAACATAAAGAAACTATAGTGTTTAATACCTGCATACTGTTATTTTTTTAAATAGGAATGCTTGCCATATGTTGCCATCTTCATACTAAGAATATTGATAGTTCCACTGGATAGCCAGTATAGAACAATTAACATTCTCCATCTAATGGTGGCTATCCATCCATGTTATCAGAAGTAGCCTTAAACTGAGCAAATGGTAGGCACTAAGATTGCCTTAAAGTGCTCTCTCTGAGAGATGCTACAGAGATCCAGAAACCATGAGTCAGCTACTCTCCCCAAATTTTACAAAATAAATATTTTTAATAATGCTCTGAAAATATAACCTAATTATGGTTGAAGCAACAGCTAGACAAGTGGATTATCTGTCATTAAACTTTATCCCATAGAAGATAATCAGCCAAACATAAGGTTTTCATAGAAATGCATAAGGTAGCAACTGAATATATTCAATTTGCCACAAGGATGTATAAATGTATTTTCTTCACTGAACTATTTTGTTTAGGAGCTTATGGGAGAGGAACAGGAGAAGGACAGTTATATTTATACCCCCTATACTATATTAGTTAAACTTTAAAGTCCTGTTGAAATAGTTTAGCCATGACTTTATTCCCACTGAAACTAATGGGACCTCAGTGCATTATCTTCAGATGCAATAAAAACCTGCAGTTGTTGACGGATGAAAGAAGGTAGGATGTACTAGAGGTGCTCTCTTCTCTCTGGTATGGTTTAGAGCAGTGGTTCTTAACCTTTGTTACTCAGATGTTTTTGAACTGCAATTCCCAGAAACCCCAGACAGCACAGTTGGTGGTGAAGGCTTCTGGGAGTTGCAATCCAAAACTCCTGAGTAACCCAAGGTTAAGAACCAGTGGTTTAGAGGGGGCTCCACTATGGCCATGACTACTACTGCATTTGCTCATGTGAAAAGCTATCAAGGACAAAATGGCTTAAATCCTGTTGCCTAGCCCAGTAAATCATATTAGAGTTCTATTGATTCAAATGGGCTCGCTCTTAACTTCAACGTATTTTAACACAAGTCACAGGGTAGGCCCATTTGACTCAACAAAAGTTACAGAGGAGTTAACTCACCAAATCACCATTGATTCAATGGGACTGCTCTATTACACCAAGCAATGGCATTTTGGCCACCATCCCAAAACATAGCAGCTAAGAGATGGTTTTGAATTTGGAGGCAGTCTGGTTTCCCAAGAGGAGCCTACATTGGTCCTCTTATTTTTGCCTGCCTAGAAGTGTGGGGAAATGCCTTTCTGTGTCAGTGTCCTGCAAACATTTCTTTTAAAAGGACACTGTATACAGGTATATGGGTAGGATCCCTACTTTCTGTCCTGCCCAGTGCAAGCCACCAGGACTGCAGATGAGATACTAGATCAGCCTGGCTGCTTGTCTGTTCCTTGGGCCCACTTGCATTTAGTCTGCCCAGTAAGTGCATTTAAAACACGCTTAGCAGTCATTCCAACCTGCTTGATCCCAGAGGCTCTCCTCTTTCTGCAAGTGGCAAAGCACCCGTGCCCTCTCTGTCCTCACTAGTTCTGTGGCTTAGCAATCAGTGTGGAATAAAAGATCGTCACACAAGTGCCTTTAATCTCTTACATAATGGCTGTATGAACTTCATGATGAGTAGATGCTTAATCTTTAGGGTTCTTTCAGAGTCGATGTGATTATGATGCGATTTTGTCACTCAGTAAAGAGATTTGTACTAGTAATGCAGTACTGTACACTACCAATATGATGTCTTCAATTTGTGTTTCATATCGGTGCAAAATGCATGTAGAAAAATAATTATTTCTCCCCCGCCCCCGAATTCTCTTTCTTTTGCAATAGCTTGATGGGTCAGCCATTACAGTCATTGGTAAATTAGCTAAAATCAGGATATCTGTAAAAATATCTGTTTACTTCAATGGTCCAAACTGCCATTAATAACCATTTCTGTAAAGCACACACTTCCAAAAGATACTTCTTTCCTCTCCATGAAGCTAATGGGAGTTCTGGTTAATGGATTAGTAAACATGTTAGATTGGGTAGTTGCTCTTTACCTCATCTCAGATGCTCACATTACTGCAATATTTATGCACAACAATTATAATTGTATATTTGAATGTAATAGGCTTAATAAATTTAATGCACATACTTTTTCAGTACCATGACTGAATTTTGCTTATGTAAAAACTACAAAGCCCTACTTTGAAAAATACAACTTAAACCATCATAAACTATCATTTCTTCTAGGATATTCAGGAGTGTTTTCATTAAAAATGAAGATTTAAAATGTTTTTGATTATATATTTTATATAAGTATGTTCCATATGCTAAAATCAGTTTAAGAGGAATACATTACAAAGTTTTGAAAGACATATTTATTGAAACTATAAGTGAGTTAGAAACAACAAACAACCCTTCCTCATCTCCCTGTCTATACTTATGGATATTGTACACATACATACTCTTTTGGCTACTTCCAGTAGTTAGTCTAAAGTACAGGATACCTATTGAATCAATGGGACCTAAATGAGGTTTGATGACTGACGAAGTTCTGTTCATTCAAGGGGTCAATTCCAGTTAAGTATAATTGCTGGATTTAGACCTGCATTTTTAACATGTTAATCTATTTAATATTCTCAAGTAAAACTGAAACATGATTACAACTCCATCTTTGTCAAATATGGATCCCAATTTTTTTCCATCATTCACACTGCCCATATAAATATGTGTTTTATTACTATATGATTAGTCATAGGAGCTGAGTTTCTTCTTCTGACTGCAGTATACAATAGTTTAATTCAGTAATTACAGGAAAGTAAGTAGAACCAGAAAACAACCCATATTTAACCTAGTAATAGTACTATTAAATGATCAGGGACATATACAGGACCATTTAAATACAGAGTCTTCTAACTGATATAAGCTTTCAAGTAGGCCACAAAGGAATGCTTCCAGAACGCTTAGGAAATGAAACATGCATTTATAAACTGAAAGAAACCAATACATTGTGAATAAACTAAAATAAACACATTACTTGTAAATTAATACATTTCACATTATAGCTTTGTGGCTCTGCTGCTAAAACACATCCATCAGTTAGACACAATCTGAGGCCAAGTCATGCCCTTGATGTTAAAACTCTGCTCTTTACGAATTCAACATTTTTGGAACTTTGCCAAAAGAAGAATAAAACTCATTTGGATCCAACTTTCGAAACAACACTATGGATCAAGTGAACAATATTTTAACATTCCATAATTGAGACTTCTTGACTTGCCTCTTAAAGTTAACCTATTACAGTGCTTTTATTTGTTTACAGTGCTTGTTTTTAAATGAATTCCACTCTTACCTTGCATAACTGAAAATAGTCTGAAGTGAGAGTCTCCTGGATTTCCTCTCTGGGAGTCCCTCCTGATTGCACAGAACCACTGCTGGGCCCACTGCCACCACTACCACTGCTGTTTCCACTAGGGGATGAAGTTAAGCCATCCAAAACTTTGTGAAAATTAAATTTCTTCATTTCGAAGAAAAGTCTCAAGGAGGATTTGACAAGGGATCAGTAGGGCTGGCCTTTGAGAGGTTCACATCTAGTGCAGGCAGGCATGCAAAAAACCCGAAACAGAACAAAACCAAAACAGCTCTCAGATTTTCCAGTGATGCAGTAATTGGGTCTTTTGCATTAACTGGAATGAAATACTGAACGGCCCCATTTTCTACTGAAAGAAACAGAAGGCATATTGTAAGGAATACTTTGAAAAGGAGGGTTGGGGAGGAAAAATATTAGCAAAACAGAGCTTAGGAGTTCAAAAATGATTAATTACAGCTAATTGCAAGATGCCTTTCTTGAAGAATCCACATTTTATACATACACTAGCGATCAGAATTCAAGTCTGCCAACTCTCTATCCCGTTGACGTTCAATATTTGTTGTTGACGAAATATTTCTAGATGGAGGTTACAAAACTCAAAGCAGGTATTTTTCCCCCTATGCTCTCTTTTTTTTACAGCCGTGGCCGCTGTTACTGTTATTTTGAGGTCCGCTTCCGGCATCTACCGCGGCAGGCACCACGCTAACTTGCCTGCCCCTCTACAAAAACTGCAGCTCCTCCTCGCAATTGAAACGTTGAGGGTGAGTAATCAGTGGCTCCTCAGCCGCCTTCTTCGTGCGTCTCCGGCTGAGCGACGTGTAGATGGCATCCTGGCTGGCGACCTGGATGAGGTGGTGGCTGTGCTTCGCCGCCGAGGCGGTCCCTCCTCACACAGTCCCCCGCCGCCTGCTCCCTGGGAACCCGCAGCCTGGTTTCCAGCGGAACGGAAACCCACCGCTTGACTTAGCCACCCATAATCTCTGGCGGAAGGTGAAGAAGGCCAGTCCAAACGCTCTCCCGTCAGTCGGTTGGGGAGATGGCTGCAGGCGGCCCAAGCAGCAGCTCCGGCGATCTCCTCGCTAGCCAGCAACTTGCCAGCCCCCGGGGCCGGTCCATGGGTCTCGGAAAGGAAAGAGGAGCGGGGGGGGGAAGGGGGAAGCAGAAAGCAAGCACTTTCTCTGAGCGGATCTAACCGTAGAGGGGGGGTGGCACCAAAGCACAACCCACCCACCCCGGAGGGTGTCGGAATAACGTCGGCGCCCCCGGCCGGCTGCTCTCCAGCGGGCGACGCGATTGTGGGCTCCTCTCAGAGGTTTATGAGGCGCCGCTGCCAAGCCCGCTGGGAGCGGGAGGGAGGGAG